TAGCGCATGCCTGTAATTCCGGCTGCTTGGAAGGCTGAGGCGGAAGGATCGCCGGAGCCCGGCAGGTCGAGGCTGCGGTGGCCGGGAGCGGCCGCTGCACTCCAGTCTGGGCGACAGAGAGACTCCGACTCAAAAATAATAATAATAATAATTCAGCAATTCCCAGTGAAGCTTTAATTCACTGTAGTACGGTTTCTGCCACCAGCATTCAACTGAAACTGGTTTCACAAAGGCTGCCAATCTCATCCTTGTTTTCAAATAGATTAAACATGTGACGTTATGTTCTTCCCGTATGTGATGCTTTGTTTCATGTTTCTTAATTCCGTCAAGGATTAAAGTTGGTTAACCCAGAAAACCGCCTGAAGGTTTGCAGAGAGAGCTTTACTGACAAACAGCCAGACAAAAAGTTTCATGTATATGTGGTGCTGAAGAATGTGCAAAAAAGCGAGAAAAGATCGAAGGCACCACTTACTAATTTGAGATGGAGCACAGACCTAAAGAAAAGAGTGCAAAGTATCAGGTTTCAGCCGAGGTGGGGAGGCGCAAGCCTGTAATCTCTCAGCCGGCGGCCCCGCCTCTTCGGGCCTCGCGTGGAGGTCCCGCCTAGTTTCTCGCTCCTCCTCCTCTCTGGAGACGTCCCTTGTCTTTCAATCAATTCAAACGTCGCGCGGAGCAGGCCAATCGCCGGCCTCGCCTAAGGGCAGGGGCGGGACTTGGCGGGGAAGCGTGACTAAAGCCTCTCCAATCAGCGGCCCGCGCGCGGAGTTTGAGCCTGGCGGCGGCGGCGGCGGCGGCGGCGGCCGCAGTGAGGGCGGCGGACGGGCGGGCCTGTGTCTCCAGGGAGGGCTGCTCAGGCGGCGGAGGTTCCGCGACGAAGGGGTTTCAGGTAGGGGCGCCGGGGACGGGGGCGGGCGCCGGCCCACTCTCGCCTAAGGCCCAGGCGGGGCGGGGGAGGACGCCTCTGGGTCAGCGTCTCGGCCCTCCCGGACGGCGGGCCCCCAGGCCCGGGGACGCGCACTCCCGCGGCCCGGGCGACGTCGTCGTCGAGGGACGTCATCGAGCGGCCTGCGCGTCGGGCCTCTGCGTTCGGCTCCAGCGGAGCCTGTGCAGCCCCCGGACGCCCGCTCCCGCGATACTGGGCGAGGCCCGCGCCTCCCGGGCTTCGGCTGTGCGCCAAGCAAACGCATCATTTCCTGCATCGCTGAAAATGAGGAGAGGAACTGAGATGGTTAAATTGCGAAACAGAGTTTTGATCCCCATCTCGTTTGGCACACAACTCCTAAAATCCTCGGAAGTCCCCAAAGTTGAAGCTATTTTTTATATGCGAATGAGTTGGCCCATGACAGGCTTCAGGATGGGTCTGGTACCTGGACTAGCCAAGCCGTGATTAGAGACGTTCAACCCCATGGCCGACTCTGGGAGGGGTAGAGGGGCTGAAGGTTGGGCGGGTGCTCACCAGCGGCCAGTGATCTAATCACGCATGCCTGTGTCATGAAGCTTCCAGAAAAGCCCAGAAGTCTGGGTTCAGGGAACATCTGGCTAGCTGAATTCATGGAGGTTCCTGGAGGGTGGTGCCCGAGAGGAGACATGGAAGCTCCTCGCTCCTTTCGATATACCTCACCCTGTGCCTCTCGATCCACCTCTTTGTCTTTCCAATGGCCTATTGATGACCCCTACATGCACAACAGTTATCTCGTGTGGTTCTTGTTTTTCTTTTTTGGCTAGAGAGAAAATGCTAGACAGCCTGCATTCATCGTCAGGTAGGAAAGCTATTCCAGGCACAGTCCTGCCATTACTCTTCCTATTTACACCTTTACATCACCCTTTCTTTCTTTCTTTCTTTTTTTTTTTTTTGTTGCAGTATTCTCTACATTAAGCCCAGAACGTCTTGTCTGTGTTCTGGATCATAGGTTCCTGGGCTTCTCTTCATCCGTCCAGCAAGTTCCGGTTTAGAACCCCAAATAGATAGATGGTAGTGTCTTGTCCTCTGTCAGCCCCTTCCCAGACTCTGGCATCTTGTATTGACATTGTGCACTTTAATATTTTTATTTCAGAAGGTTCTGAGGTGGGACAAGATGAACCGTAATCTTAATTTTTCTAAATAATGAAAATCATGAAAGTCAGCTTCCGTCTCTTTTTTCCTTGACAGGATGTCGTCATCACGTTTTGCCACCCATCACAGAAAGGATTTAAGTACTGAAATGCTTAGAACTAAAATTGCTCATAGGAAATCACTGTCTCAGAAAGAAAACCGACATAAAGTATATGAGCGCTATAGACACTTTGGTTTGAAAGATGTCAACATTCCAGCCCTCAGAGGTAGAAGTTTTCTTGAATTAGAGGAGACACCTCAAGAGCTTGTTGCAGAAAAATCCCAGGACAAATCAAGTAAGTAAAGGTCCTTTGTAATTTTACTGATAGTCTTTTTTTTTTGAGTTGGGTTCTCACTTTGTTGCCCAGGCAGGAGTGTAGTGGCACAATCACTCCTCGCCATAGCCTCAGCCTCCCGGGCTCAGTGGATCCTTCTGCCTCAGCCTCCCAAGTAGCTGTGCCTGTAGGCGTGCGCTGCAACAGCTGGCTAATTTTTGGATGTTTTTCGTTAAGAGGTGTCAAGCAATCCTTTTTCCTCAGCCTTCCAAAGTGCTAGGGTTATAGGCATGAGCCGTCACACCCAGCGTTTGTCCTTTATAATTTTAAGTACTTTGAAGAATGAACAAAAGTTGGTTTAATGCCTGTGAGGTTTCTTTTTCTTTTTTTTTAAAGTCCTGGCCAGAAGCATTTGGAAATACATGCAAAATAACTTGTTTTCCACAACTAAATGCTGTCTAAGGTAAAGCCATTCACTTACGGAGTTTTATGGCACTTTATTTTCTATATTGCCTTATAGAGACCCTAAAGTTCTTACTTACGGAACTTGGGTAAAATAATTGTTGATGAGATACATTGATAAGAAAAATAAAAACAATGATTAAAGAATCCATGAAGGCCAGTTTTTTTTAAATAGCTGGGCGCGTTGGCTCAAGCCTTTAATCCTAACACTTTGGGAGGCCAAGACGAGAGGATTGCCTGAGTCGGGGAGTTCAAGACTAGCCTGGGCAACTTGGCGAAACTTTGTCTCTACGATAACTCAAAAAATAAGCTGGACGTGGTAACGTACGCCTGTAGTTCCAGCTACTTGGAAGCCTGAGGAGAAGGATCGCCTGAGCCCAGCGGTGAGTGTGCCACTGTACTTCATCCTGGGAGAAAGAACGAGCCCCTGGCTCAAAAAAAACAGCCACCACAGTCTCGACCTGCTGGGTGCAGGCGATCCTTCCGCCTCAGCCTTTCAAAAAGCTGGAACCACAGGTGTGCACCACCATGTCCATGTGATTTTTAAAATTTATTTTAGAGACGAGGTCTCACCAAGTTGCGCGGGTTGGTCTCAAATTCGGGCAGTCCTCTTGCCTCTGCCTCCCAAAGTGCTGGGATGATAGGCGTGCACGGCCGCTCCCAGCAGGAAACATTACAGTATGTTTGAAAAGAGTAAAGAATTTATCTTTGCAGTTTGCCCAAATGTAGTTGGGACCACTAGGAAGAAAGAACCAATCAAGAAGAAAGGAATAATCTTAGGAAAAGATGAAGCATCTCAGATGGTGAGGGATGCTAGAGAAGGAAAAAGGGACTGACCAAGGACTTTTGCTTAAACCAGGAGTCCCTGGGCGCTTGTCTGGTTGTGCTTGCATAGCAGGCATTAGGCGCTAGGTGGCGCTGAAGTGAAGCAAGGATGAAGGAACCACAAACTTTTTCATCTGTGAAGGGCGGGGCTCGTGCCTCTGCTGTTGTCCCCTCAAATGCTCCATTTCTTAACCGAGCTCTCAGATGAAATCTAACTGTATCAATCTGCTGTTAACGTGCCCTTCATTTACTTCCTATTTGAAGACTTATGGGTGGGCCTGGTGTGCTCCAGAGATGGCAAGGAGGTGGCCGTGGCTAGAGAAGAAGGAGCAAGGGGCCTAGATGCTGTGGGGTCCTGAGAACCATCATTCTAGGACTGTGGCCACTGGAGAAGCCACTGGTGGGTTAGTGGGTGTTGGTGTGATTTGACTTATGCTTTGAAAGGGTCACTTGGGAGTCAGGCGCATGCCTGTAGTCCCAGCTGCTGAGGAGGCTGAGGCAGGAGAATCTTGAGCCCCCCAGGAGTTTGAGGCTGTAATGCTCTCTGGGGGTGCCAGTGAATAGCCACTACAGTCTAGCCTGGGCAACGTAGTGAGATCCTATCTGTCAAAAAAAAAAAGATTGGGCGTCATTGGTTTGTTCAACTCTGCCGTCTCCACATGGCTTTTTGCACTATGTCTGCCGTTTTCCTAGATTTGTCCCCCTCCCCTACCTTGGGGAGGTGAATCAATCTCTCTCTCAATTACTTTCTACATAAACTTTGCTTAAAAACTTTTTAAAAAATCACTCTGGCTGCTGGGTTTGAGACTAGATTGGAGGGTGACAAGCATGCCCTCAGGGAGACCCATCAGGGGAGTACAGTAGTGCAGTAATTTATTCAGTTGGTCAGGGTGGCAGCAACAAAGATTAGTGGTTACGTTCTGGACATATTTCAGATTATCCAGAGTTCTGGCGTGGAAAAGAAGAGGAATAAGCACTGCAACCTTTAGAGGCCCAGGACATGAAGGTTAACTAGCAGAGAACTGAGGTGCAGTGCAAAGTCAAGGTAGAGGACAACCAGAAGGATGTGATAGGAACCCAGGGAGGGATGTGCCTAGGAACCCAGGGAGAAAGCACCTGTCATGGAGAAACTGGTTAACTCTGGCAGTCAGTACTGCTTGTTAGGTCAAGCGATATTAGAAGTGAGAATTTGAATTTCACCACTGTGGAAGTCACAGTGCCTAGTTTTGGTGGAGTGAGGTTCAGGGAATGAAAGCCGGGTTGGAATGGGTTCAAGAGAGAGAATGACAGCACCACCTAGGAACTTGAGCCTCATCAAACACTTGGATATAGTTTATAGAAAACATGAGAGCTTAGAAGAGCAAGTAAAGTGTACGGATGCGGAGCATAGGCCATTCAACAGTTCAATGACTATCTTTTGTCAATAAGACAGTGGCAAGAAAAGAAGAGAGGGGAAGAGGATCTGTTTCAGATAAAGACATCCAAATAAAATGCGTAGATCTTGCTTGGTGCCTGATTTGAATAAATGGAAGGTTTTTTAAAAAGACTTCTTTGGCATAAACAGGGAAGTTTAAATGTGGACCCTTTAATAAATAACACAGAAATGCACCTAATTTTGTTGGGTGTGATACTAGTACTGTAGTTATGAAAGGAAATGTCCTCACTTTTTAGAGGCGCACACCAAAGTATCTGGAGGTGATTTGTGAGTAGAATGTGGTGTTTTTTAAAAAGTGCAGCAAAATGTTCATAATTTAATCTGGGTGACAGGCATTTGAGGTTTATTATAGTCTGCTTCTGTGTATTTTGAAATTTTTCAAAATGTTGAAAAAAATTAAAGGGGAATGTAAAGAGTATCCTAGAGATACAGATAACTCTCAAAGAATTTTGCCTTAATTGGGCCAAGAGAAATGAGACAAATAGATGGATGATGTGTTGGGAGAAGTCACCACGTTTACAATTTCATGATTGCAACAATTCAGAAGGGACAAAACAACAATGAGAGGGTAAATTGCTGGAAGAATATCCTAGAGCAGATGAGAAGGAATGGAGTACATTTATCACAATAAGTAATACCTATAATTGGTTACCCCAAAACTTAGCAACTTAGAAATTGATCATTTCACACAAGTGTCAGGAATTGGAGTGCAGCTTAGCTTGGTGGTTCTGAAAGCAGCAGTTAAGATGTCCAGAGATGCAGCTGGGGGTGTGTCTGGGACTAGAGAAACCTCGGGGATGACTGACTCATGTGACCACACGCAACACTGGCTTTGGGCTGGAAGCGTCTCCATATTGCTCCTGAGGCTCCATGTGGCCACTGGCTTTCCCCAGAGCAAGTGATCTAAAGAGACAGCAAGGCCACCTAGTCTTAGGTGTCATGCGCCATCATTTCCTCGAAACTCCTGGTCCCACAGGATAGCTCTTCTCAATGTGAGGGGTGTGACACAAGGACAACACTGCCAGGAGGAAAGAGGCGGCAGAGGTCAGCTTGCAAGCTGGCTGTTTGACAAGAACGTTAATTCAAAGTGGAGTAATGCATGCCTCGTACATAGCAAGCTGTTAATAAATATTTGAACCTGTGAAGGTAGAAGGGATACAAGTTTTAAAAGACTAGGGCTTAAAATAACTTGTTGTTAAGTGCTGAGGAGTTAGCAAGAAGTAAGAACATTTCCTTTTGAGAGGGGAGAGATCTTGCTGCATTGCCCAGGGTGGACTTGATGTTCTGGACTTGAGCAACCTTATTGCTTTAGTCTCCTGGTAGCCAGAACTACAGGCTCATCACTGTACCTGGCTCGTTAAAAGCATTTCTTAGCAGTTGAATTTACATTAAAAATGATTTTTAAGTCATTTGCATAACTTTTCATCTGAAATGTTTTATGTACTGTGGTGTTCTTTTTCTGTCTGGGGTCAGAGAAAACTGTTCTGAGTGATCAACGAAAACAAATGCTACTAAAATACAAAGAAGAAAAGCAACTTAAGAAATTGAAAGAGCAGAGAGAGAAAGCTAAACCAGGAGTGTTTAAAGTGGGCCTCTATAGACCTGACATGCCATATTTTCTTTCATCAAGCCAGAGTGCCATGAAAGCTGGGCCAAAAAAGGTAAGTTTAGTATCTTGATATAAAGGAACAGGTTCTTTGTATCTGGGATTTTCTTTCTTTCTTTTTTTTTTTTTTTTTTATAGTTGGAGTCACTGGGTCACCCAGGCTGGAGTGCAGTTGCACACTGATGGCCACTCCAGCGTCAACCTGCTGAGCTCCGGCAATCCTTCTGCCTCGGCCTTCCATGCATCCGGAACTACATGTGTGTGCTACCACACCTGGCTAATTTTTGATTTATTGTAGAGACGAGGTCTCACCAATTTGCCCGGGTTGGTCTCAGCAATCCATTTGCCTTGGCCTCCCAAAGTGCGGGATTACAGGCTGAGCCTCCTAGCCTGGTGGGATTTTCTTTAAGGATTAAATTACTAAAAGAATCCTTTCCCTTAGCCCCTTTATTCACCTGGCTAGTTAGTAGGAGGTGGGCATGAGATAATAGTAGCTCAGAAGAATGAGATAGTGTTAGGTGAATTGAGATTAGGATAGAGCTAGGAATGCGGGTGCGCCAGGCTGAGCAATGCATGCCAGAGGGTTTGGCATTTATCTTGTGAGTTGAGAAGAGTAAGGGGAAATTTATAAATGAAGGTAGGTCCGTTACCCAATTAGAAATTCAGGAAAATTACCAGGGGCTTAAAGAGTGTGGTCTGTGGGGAGGGAGGGGAGTGGAGATATCGGAGGGAGGAGGAAGGTGTGAAGGAGAGGGGAGGGAAGAAGTAGATGAAAGAAAAAACAGAAAGGAGTATGACATGGAATGAAAGGTGCTTATAGATAAGGAGACCAGTTGTGAGACCTGTAATACAATAGGTGAGCCATGTTAAGTGGACTGGGGCAGTGAGTTTTAAAAGGAGGAAATAGGTGTAAGGCATCTTGAGGTACATGTGACAGGAATGGTGACCAAGTAGGTGGCGAGGGGTGAAGAAAATTGAAAAGTCAGAGATGAGATGATTCTGAAGCTATGAGTTAGATCAACTGTACAAGTTATGCTGCTGTTTTTTTTTTTTTTTTTGAGTTGGAGTCTCACTCTGTCACCTAGACTGGAGTCCAGTGGCCACTCCTGGCCACCGCAGCCTCGACCTGCTGGGCTCCGGCGATCCTACCTAAGCCTTCCAAGTAGCTGGAATTACAAGCATGTGCTACCATGCCCAGCTGATTTTTTGATTTATTGTAGAGATGAAGTCTCGCCAAGTTGCCCAGGTGGGTCTCGAATCCGAATCCGCAGGCTAAGGCAATCCACTCACCTCAGCCTCCCTGGGCACAGGATTACAGGCTGAGCCACCGAGCCTGGCTATGCTGCTGTTTTTTTTAAAAAGGCCTTGAGTGACTTTCGTTAATAGCCTTTTGTTCTGTTTTTTTTGAGTCAGAGTCTCCCTCTGTTGCTCAGTCTGGAGGGCAGTGGCACTATGATAGCTTATCACAGCCTGGACCTCCTGGGCTCAGATGATCCTTCCGCCTCAGCCTCCTGAGTAGCTGGAATTACAGGAATGCACCTCCATGCCCTGCTAATTTATAATTTTTTTTTTCATAGAGGAGGTCTCACCATGCTGCCTAGGCTGGTCTAAATCTCCTGGGCTTAAGCAATCCTCCCACCTTAGCCTCCTGGGCACACACCACCGGCCCAGCAAATTTTTTGTAGAGACAGGTCTTGCTCTGTTACTTAGGCTGGTCTTGAACTCCTGGTCTCAAGCAATCCTCCTGCCTCAGCCTCCCAATGTGCTGGTATTAAAAGGTTAAGCCACCACACTGAACTGCCTTTTTTTTTTTTAATGTGTTTGGGCCATCTAGATAATCCAACAATTGGGAATAAAAATGTGGAAAGCAGGATGGGGATCTGTGCTAAAATAATATTGGGAGGGTGGATAGGTGTTTAAGCTGTGGGACTAAATGAGACCACTCCAATAAGGAATATAAAATCATGAAAAAGAGTGGGTTCTAGAAAGCATCTCTAGATGAGCAGACGTCAAGTACCAGGATGAGAAGGACTGCTCAGAGTTTCAATAGAACTAAAACAGGACAGAAGCTAAAGGCAGAGTAATCTAAAGAAGAAGAGCATGGACAGGCAGGGCAGAGGCAGTGTGGACGGCGGCAACTAGGTTGTAAATTGGATCATCACTGGTTTGCTATTTTAAAGATATATTTGATCTCAATTTAAAGAATATGTTTTAAAGATCTTATTGGCCAGGTGTGGTGGCTCACACCTGTCATCCCAGCACTCTGGGAGACGGAGGCGAGAGGATTGCCTGAACTCAGGGATTTGGGACCAGCCTGAGCAACATGGCAAGACCTCGTCTCTACAATAAATCAAAAAATGAGCCTGGCGTAGTGGTGTGCACCTGTGGTTCCAGTTACTTGGAAGGCTGAGGCAGGAGGATCACCTGCCTGCTGTGGCCGTGAGCTTGGCACTGCACTCCAGCCTGGGCGACAGAGTGAGACTCCTATTCAAAAAAAGAAATCTCGTTAACTGTATATACATTCCTGATTTAAGTAAGAATCGAAGAATATCAAGAACCAAGGAAATTGCTTATTTTCCTAGACCTCGTGAATCTCACTGATTCATCCAACCGATCCCTAGGGCTATTTATCTCAGGGGAATAGGGAATAGATCAAATCTAACAAAATAATTCAAGGTGGAAAAATATATATGTATGTCAGAGAGATGCATACAGACAGGTATATTCTACATATGTTTTCGAGGGGGGAGGTACTGTTTCTGTTTGGAAAATAACTCTCGGAAGAGGTTAGCTTTAAGCCGGCTTGTCAAGAATATATAGGATGCCACTTGTTGGTGTAAAGTAAACAACTGTTTAAAAAGTATTATGAATAGGGGAGAAAATTACTTAACATCATTTTACTTTTATTACTTTTATACATTTTACATCATTACTTTTATTACTTAACATCATTGTGTTAAGTAATAAAATTTACTAATAATTGTTTTGCTATTCTACTTAGAAAACAGCCATTGCTGAATTTTGCTGCTTTTATGGGCTCTAGAAGGAAGCGTAGTTTCCTTAGCACTGGGTGTCCTTGAGTTGAAATAAGGAAAGTGGATTGTCGTCTAGAGAATTCTGCCACAAGGCTTCTGGGTCTTTCTCTCGCAAGTGCCTAATCTAAATTAAATTAAACTTGGAAAGTAAGCTGTGAGATATCTTTTTATAAACAGAAAACAAAGATCTTAATGCTCTAGATTGCTCATATACTCCACTCCCTGCCCAGGAGTTTGAGGCGGCAGTGGCCGTGAGCGTGCCACTGCACTCCAGCCTGGGCAACAGTGAGATTCCGACTCAAAAAAAAAAAAACTTACTGTGTATACATTTGTGATTTAAGTAAGCATTGAGTAATATCAAGACCCAAGGTATTGCTTATTTTCCTGTCTAGTTAATCATATTAACGAGAATTCCAATACCTAGAATATATCATTTGAAATTTGTTCTTTCCCTTCACTGAGAAATATGAGTACCTTTTAAACTACTTAAACTTAATTTACATCAAGCCAGAATCAGAAAAAATAGGAATTTAAGCTAGCCAGTATCTTTTTGCTATAAATGATTAAGGATAAAATTTAACTTTAGTGGGAACTTTATTTCATAATGAGCCATGGCAGTAAACTTTTTCCAGTGCCTTTTTTAATGTTGTCTTCTTTTGACTGTTCTAAGGCTATTCCATCTTCGGCACGGGTGACGAGGTCAAAGGCCAAAGGCCAAATGGAGCAGACTGAGGTACAGTTGATAGTAGATCCTTGTTACTGAAATAACAGGCCATATTTTTCTTTTAGAGGGAGTAAATTAATTTTTAATCTAACATCAGATTCCAACATAGTGATTAACTTACTAAAGTTAGCAGGTACCAAAATCACTAGTTTGGTGACAGAGCAATTTTTGGCTAGGTGCTAAGGCAATTTTTTCTTAATAATGTTCTTTGCCCAAATGTCCCTTGATGAGGCTCATAACAAACTTTGTCTTGTATCACCCTCTTTTTGTTTACTGGGCTACTATTAGGCATTCCGAGTTAGCTGCATGAAATGCAGATGGGGTGGAAAGTACATGGGGTAGGTGTTATAAACTTATCGATCTCCAGTACCCTAGTAGAGGTATTAGGAGGGTTACTAAAATAAAGTGGACAAGGTGGGAAGTAGTATGCCTCTTTTTAGATGAGTAAGGTAAGTTTCATGTATGCATATAAATTTTGGATCAGTACCGTCTTCCTGGCACTATTCTAGGCTCTGGGATACAGGAGTAAACAAAACAAAATTTCCTGTCTTTATGGAACTTACATGTAAGACAGGGAGAAAAAATAAATTATACGTAGAGAAAGACAGAGTATTCAGAAGGTCATAAGTATTATGGTGGAGATTTTAAAAAAGGGAAATGAGGACTACTAGAAGTAGGTTTGTGGTAGAATTTTGATGGGGACAGTCAAGTGGGAGCCTCACTGAGATGGGAGCATTGTAAGTGAAGCCGTTAAGGATGTGCAGGCTTGCATCACAGGAAAGAGTTTTCTGTCTAAGAGAAGCATTTTCTAGGCAAAATTGAAAGGTCTTGAAGTGAAAGCATACTTAGTGTTTTGAAGGACCCTCAAAAGATTATATAGTTAGCCATTCTTAATAACTTAGGTTATTAGCATTTTCTAAATTCTATGATTCTAAAAACGGATGGAAGGAAATTTATATAATGGAAGACTTTTTCCTTTGTCTCATTTTATTTGGGGTAGTCTATTTTTTTCTTGGGTCATTTGCCATTATCAGATTTCAGAATGAAATGTACAGAATTGAAACTTACAATTTACAGATTTAAAATGTGGTGTATTGATTCATTATGCAATTAAATCACATAATACCTATTCTCTTAAATAGATTGATAATGCGAGTGATGTTCAAGCAGTCCATCCTGGTCAAAGACAGACTTCTGAAAAGAAAGTGTTGGACAAAGAGAAAAAGGGTAGGGATATTAGCAATTACTATAAACTCTGATGCTACATAGCAGTGACTTAGTAATTACAAAGAACATTTGATTTGATTACTTTTACCACAGTAGCACAGCCCATAGTGACCACATCAATGAGAATGACTCGATCAGCTACTCAAGCAGCAAAGCAGATGGCCAGAACAGTCTCATCTGCCACAGCAAGAAAACCAGTCACAAGAGCTACTGATGGTAAGAACTACCGCTTGGTCTGTGCCTGGACTAGACCGTTTTGGTCCTTGAGGTTTTTGTGTTTAATGTTTTAGTCAGCATGTACTTCTCTGAGTAGGAGATGAGGAAACGGGAGATTCATTTTCTGAAGGTAGGTTCTGTACCATCCAGTTAGCCACATGGTAGGTGCCCAAACATTACAGGACAGTGAATTAGCATAAGCAGTGTTTCAAAGTGAAAAATTAATGGCCCAGGTAAATCACATTTCATTCATTTGGTGGAATACAATGTAGCCTTTAAGAACAATGTTATAAAAGACAGCTTCAAGTCAGTAACAAGTAAGGAAAAGAAAAGAAAGAGCAATATTACAAAAGAACACTTAAAGTTGTGGTGCATAAAGTATTTTTTTTTGTTTTTGAGTTGGAGTCTTACTCTGTCGCCCAGACTGGAGTGCAGTGGCCGCTCCCGGCCACCGCAGCCTCGACCTGCTGGGCTCCAGCGATCCTTCCACCGCAGCCTTCCAAGTAGCTGGAATTACAGGCATGCGCTACTACGCCCGGCTGATTTTTTGATTTATTGTAGAGATGAGGTCTTGCTGCCCAGGCGGGTCTCGAACCCGTGGGCTCAGGTAGGTCCACTCACCTCAGCCTCCCAAAGGCGCGGGATTACAGGCTGAGCCACCAAGCCCGGCATGTGCTGCATAAAATATTAAGTGGGCAAAGAAAAGTAGGTCAGGCTCTGAAAAGTAGGCTCACAGTCCTAGAAGATCTTATGTGAGTATGTGGACATAGAAAACAACTGGAAGGCGGGACTCAGTGGCTCAACCTGTAATCCCAGCACTTTGGGAGACTGAGGCGAGTGGATTGCCTGTACCTACGGGTTCAAGACCTGCCCGGGAAACTTGGCAAGACTTCATCTCTACAATAAAATAAAAAATAAAACAACTGGAAAAACACCCTGAGTGTCAGCTAAGTAACGGAATCAGGTGATTTGTCATTGTCGTTGTCGCTGCTGATGCTCTTGGTGCTTTTTTGTGTTTTCCTAATCGTCTGTCATACACACAGGCCAACCATTTCTTATCCAAAATCCAAAATGCTTCAAAATCTGGAATACCAACATGATGCTCAAGGTCACGATTATTGGAGCATTTCAGATTTTGGACTTTGGAGTTGGGTGTGTTCTAGCTCTTTAAATATGGCTTTTTTTTTTTTTTGAGTTGGAGTCTCACTCTGTCGCCCAAACTGGAGTGCAGTGGCCGATCCCGGCCACCACAGCCTCGCCTGCTGGGCTCTGGCGATCCTTCCGCCTCAGCCTTCCGAGTAGCTGGAATTACAGGCATGTGCTACCACGCCCTGCTGATTTTTTGATTTATTGTAGAGATGAGGTCTCGCTGCCCAGGCGAGTCTCAAACCCGCGGGCTCAGGCAATCCACTCACTTCAGCCTCCCAAAGGCGCGGGATTACAGGCTGAGCCACCGAGCCCAGCTTAAATATGGCTTTTAATAAAAAAGATTCTTCTAGTTATACATTCCTATCATTGCCGGTTTTCCTTTCCTAAATTACATAGTACTTTTAATATAGCATTTCTATCTAATCAAAATGGATATCTTATATTTATTTTAGATATTGAACCAGAAAGAAAGGCACCAAACAAAGGAATACCTGTCCAAAAGATAGAAACAAAACATGACAAGGTAGAGTATAAACATCTGCTTATTTCTAGATATCTTGTAAATCTCACTGCTGCTTTCATAAAGTAGAAATGAAGCTACAGAACTGCTTCAAGAGGTTAACCCTACATGTGAGTTTTAACCTCTAGAACCATAAGAAAACATTAAGAGATTTTAATGTTTCGTTTTTCAGGTATCTTATTTTCAGATTTTTATAGGTAGAGAGAAGCGTAATTTGGTTAGTAGAAGATGGGGGAAGCACAGCTGAGAGAAATAATTATGTGGGAGTTGTCTGAGAGACAGTTTGGAGTAAGGTGAAATGCATTGACTTTGAATTCTGTTAGATTTGGGTTCCAATCTTGTCTATGCTTCCAGTTAGCTGCATAACCTTGGGCGAGCTGTATAATTTATGAGTTTGTTTTCATATCTCTAACACGGAATACCTACACAGAGTAGTTTTAAGAATTAAGCAAGCCTTGTGCGGTGCCTCATGCCTATAATCCCAGCACTTTGGGATTCTGAGATGAGAGGATTACCTGAGTCCAGGGGTTCGGGACCTGTCTGGGCAACTTGGTGAGATCTTGGGTCTACGATAAATTAATAAATCATCCAGTTGTGGTGGCACATGCCTGTGGTTCCAGTACTTGGAAGACTAAGGTGGAAGAATCGCCTGAGCCCAGCAGGTAGTGGTTGAGGTAGCCTTAAGCATGCTGCTACACTCTAGCCTGGGTGACAATGAGATTTAACTCTTTTTTTTTTTTGAGTTGGAGTCTCACTCTGTCACCCAGACTGGAGT